GATTGATTCATTTTTTTACCAGCGCTATCTGCTAACGGTTTTGTCTGCGTGGTCTTGTATCTTATTAATTCTGCATTAAAATCTTTTGTGTAGTTTAAAAGATAAGAGAGTCTCAGCGTACAGATAGCGAGAAGGGATTTTGTTTTATATGAAGTATGTATAGTAAAAAAAACACTTGAGATACAATAAAAGGATAAGACAATGCTAACCGATCTTAATCGTTATTATTTTGCATCTGTTTGTGACAAGTAAACAAGGAGTTTGGATTTTTCGGCTGGTCCCCGGCTTTGTAAGTATCGTTCGTATTTTTGATTGTATTGACAATGATGATCAATGACGACGAAAAAATATTTTTGTGTTAGGATGGGTTAAAAAGTTTGAACCTTTTTCTCTTTACTCATGATTATGGTATGTACCTATAACTCAATCTAGTTATATTTATACCAATTTTACAAAGATATACACAATGTAGGAGTTCGCAAGGAAAAAATGGCTAAAAAAAAGTTAACTTTGAGAACTAAGTACCGTTTATCGCAGTACTTAGTTCTTAATACTTCCTTACTACTGATATAATTTTTTTAAATAATAATTTTTAATTTTAGTTTTTTTATAATTTTTTTTTCGTTAAACAACGTTGTATGAAATAAAATGAAGCGAAAAAATAAAAATATAATAAAAAAGCTTTTTTTATTTGTGCGCACTTAAATATAAATAACAATTTTAGGCAAAAGCGTTTAAAAAATATGTGTACTTTTTTGTCTTCAATTTTATTAGCGCTACAAGCTTTTCAAGTTAATTACTGTTAGAGAAAATTTTGATCATAAGTACTTTAACATATATGTTATGAATTTGTCTTGCATAAAAATATTATTTATGTTTAAGTGCGTACAAAATAAAGCTTGTTTTTTAAAAAAATATATATTGATTACTTTTATCTCATTCTATTCATTTCCGTCATAGCATCTGTATTGCAAGGTGTTTTCCTGTTCATGACAAGCTATTATTTCCAGCGCCATCATCACCAAACTTTGGCCAGACCAAGTCAGAAAGCATTCAGTACCAAAGTCCTCAAAAAGACTGATCTGGAAAGCATCCAGTACAAAAGTGCTCATAAAGACGAATCTAACAAGCCCAAATACGATGCAGTTGCGTCATTTCATCAATAAGTTCCTATGACCACCTTCCAACTTCACCATAATCATATCAGCTTACTGCATCATAATATTTCATTATTTATCTATGCAAATTTTCAAGTCTATCGGACATTGGGAAGTGGGTCAAATTTAAGTTACAAGATTTGCGCACTAACAAACATGCAAACATACAAACAAGGCAAGTTAAATCGACGGGTCCCAAGAACAAAGACGTATGTACAAAATGTCGAACTGTCAGAACGGAGGTTCTAATAACAATTTTTTTTTATAGTTTCGGATGATAAATAGTTAAATTTAAATACAAAGTTCTTCAGTATTCAGCAGTACGTAAGTATAACTATGTCTTTGTTCTATGAAAAGTTTATCAACTTAGGTATATGTTATGGACCAAGTGATAAATTTAGCATAATACATACTCGTATTGTTCATTACTTTTTGGGCAGAGTAATGTATATACGTGTAATTAGTAATTTTTCATTTTTTATTCTCATTTTTTATAATGGGCTCACTTTTGACTTCGGTCTAGCCCTCTTTGGATTATGTCCTAAGAGATCATTAATATAAACTAAATGTTAAAAAGTTTAAATAATAATCAGTATTATTAAATGGATTAATTAACAAGGTATATTAAGAATCCACTAGTTATCGAATTTAAAAGTTAAGGAAAGAAATATTAAAAATATAGGTAACACAAAACATATAAAATTAAAAACGAAGAGCTCAAACATATCTTTGTATGTAACATATCTTTTGTATGTTTTATAGAAGTTTTGACGGAAGCACTAGAATAGAAATAGAATCGGCGACTACGCCAACGTGCGCCAAAAGGGGGAGCGGGAGGGTGGAGTGGGAACAAACCCTCGCGATCATGCACCAAAGCGCGTAGTAACATAGTTAAGAAGCAAAAAGAATTTTTTTTTTACTATATCATCCATATAATTAAAACTATTATTAAAAAAAAACCACAAAATTAGAGAAGATCGCTACGCTACGCTTCGCGAAATCAAACTAACAGAAAAGTTTTCTTTTACTAAACCAATACTGGCAAGGAAACGTCAGTGGGAAATGTTGTTTCTTTTTTCCTTTTGTGGATTTTATTTAGTTTTTTTTTTTACTGCAAATATATGTAAACTCAATGAAATGATAATACATTAAATAAACGATCCATATACGTTTTATGTGATAACAGTTTTAAATAGGTTATCATGTGGTCATTTGTGATTTATCTCTTTTAGCCTACTTAGTAACAGATGATACCTAATACCTAAGTTTTAAGACTTGTTTATAAAGGCAGGCCTCTACGGAATTGACTATTGGATATTTTTTAACGGTATTACATTGATCTTCTTCATCTGTTACAAAACAAATTATGATAGCTACGATAATAATGTTCAACATATAAAGAACCTTACTTATAAGAGATATAATAATGCTACTTAATAAATAGAGACTAAAATTTTTAATGGAACTTAAATTTTTTTCCAAAATTTTTCGTAGAATTTGCTATTGTAAATTTTAGTTACACGTATAATGTACAACAATTATTAAATAAAATTTATTTAAGGATGGCTTTACACTTTTTTTTTAGAATAACTAAAAGAAAATATTTCAAACAAATAATAAAACACGATCATAGGTATACAAGTTCTATGATTTTCATAGATCAATATCTTATAATCATTAACGGCGAGAATTATTATTTTAAGGTATTTTGAAAACAAGTGAAAAAATGTACAAACTATACTTTGTAAGTTTCATTAATTTTTTTAAAGTGAAAACTACAATAATTAGTATAATAAATTCTGATTATATATCTTGAGTGGAGCTAACATTATCGTTTTTGTCTAATTTTAGAGCTAATAATTTTCTTTATCGATAGTCCCCACACTTTTATGCCACAATCTTATGGAGCCCGGTGCACAAGATGTGAGCTGAGATGAACAAACTCGTATATTGTCATACATTCTAGTACGTTGAATAAAATTTGAAATACGACAATGTTTGATAGGTTAACTGCTCAAATAAGACAATTACAAAAAAACAAAATACATTCCCACATATGATTTGTAATGCATAAGAATAATAAAAAGTATTTCGTCTTATATTTATATACAACTTTGTTCTTGGAGCTTGTCGAAATAAAAGCTTATAATAATAATAAAAGCTTGTAAATAGCCTATTCGCTATTGAATCCATTCAATATCACAGACTATCTGCCGAATCTTACTTAATTTTTCGACTTTCACAAGTAAATAATAATTATAATGATTTGTTTATTATTTTACGATAATTTGTTTATTATTGGTCTATTCTGGTAGCGACAAGATATTTATTAACGTGATCTTGTTTCAGATAATAGAATGTTTAGCAGCAGAAGAGTATACGCCGCTTGGACGGTGGTCGTAATAATTATTGGTATGTTGTAAAAAAGAACTTGGAATATTCGAATTAAAACAACAACAATCCCTAAAATACCCATTTATTTAACAGTGTAATTTTATAAATAGGTAAAATTAATAGCAGGAGACATAATTATCTGTTTTTTAGTTTTGTTTTTAGATTTTATTGTGTACCGATTTTTTGTTTTTGAAACAAAATATGTACATTTTGGGACAAATCCTATTAATATTATAAATGTGAAAGTTTCTTTGTTTGGATGTTTGTCCGTCAATCACGCCGAAACTACTGAACGGATTTTGATGAAATTTGGTATACAGATAAGGTATTAGCTGACTTAGATAATAGGATACTTTTTATCCCACTAAACATTTCCCTAGGGTCCACGCGGGCGAAGCCGCTGGTGAAAGCTAGTGCTTAATAAATTCGACAGTCTCTGATGTCGGAGATGGGAGACGAACTCATAACTTTTCGCTTTTTGGACGATTGCTATTGCTTATCATTGAGCTATTAGCATAGCTGCCGAACATAAAGAATTTTGTACGTTGACCTATATGCCTACTGATAGATATCAAAATATTTTGGATTCACTTTATTATAAGAAAATTGGATAGATTTCTGTGGGTAAGATGCATATGTGCAAGTGCAATAGCAATATGTGAAAGATATATGTAATACCCGGTCATTATACGAAATTCTATGTTCGGCGACCTTGCTTTACCCTGTTTTGTTGATAACGGTGTGCCTAAAGGTGGTAAAGTATGTTGTGGACCCTAGGGAAATATTTAGTGGAATAAAAAGTATCCTATTATCTAAGTCAGCTAATACCCTATCTGTATACCAAATTTCATCAAAATCTGTTCAGTAGTTTCGGCGTGATTGACGGACAAACATCCAAACATCTAAGCATCCAAACATCCAAACAATGAAACTTTCACATTTATAATATTAATAGGATTGACTATTATGAATGAAAAGATAGCAGTATTTCAAAAAGCGTTTTAATCAAAACACAGGTAGCCAAGTAATAAAGACGCAAACAGATACAGTAACATCAAGTTATACTGATACCACAACGATAGAAAGTATCGCTTTAGATAGTCAAACGAGAATAGATAAAACTGAAAACTTTAGCATCGATGACGTCACTAAAGAAGCAAACGAAGAAAGCATTCTATCACAAGTACAAAAGGTAGTATATGAGAACCTAATCAATGATACTCTAGAGAGCGCATCTAGAGCGGCTAAGCCTAACATAGGGGATATAACAAAAGAAATTGTAGATAACAAACTCTTGGAGTCTAAATCAAAAAGTAAATTGATAGCTTATTCCACAATTAAAACAATTAAGAAAGCTAATAATATAGCTGACTTGAATCCGCATACGAAGTACGACGAAGTCACTGGTGAATTGGATAAAAGTGGACATCCCTGTAATAGAAAATGCACAGAGGGTGAAGAGCCTATGATTTGTTATTACCATTTCAAGTTGGAGTGGTATCATACTATGAGTAAAGCATGCTTTAATTGCCCTTATAATGAGGCAGATTGTAAGAGACCGGATTGTATACCCGCTGACGGGATGAGTAGATCTGTAAATGTAGTCAATAGAAAAATGCCTGGTCCTGCAATAGAGGTAAGTTAATTATAATTTTGTTATTGGGATCTGCCCTGCCATTCTGTAAAAATTCAGACCCACATGCAAATTCACTCAAGTGTCCGAATTCTGAGTAATTATCCGGTCACTATACTATTAGATTTTGCCCTATAATATGATTAAATAGAAAATTGAGTGAGTTGGGTTCGCGCGTTGAGGATTCCTTACAAATTGTAAATGTTTGATAATTATAGATTTCGTATGGGTTTTCCTGTATATTTACATAAAGAACTAGCTATATAATATTATTTTCGAAAATGTTGGGCACTAGTTTCGGAGATGATGCACATTTTTAGTTTTTTTTTTTATTTTTTATAAAAAGTATAAGTAATACTTTTTGGGTTTATATGTTATTAAGTTTCTTGTTGTGGTTTTTGATATAGTTAAATATTTATTCTTTAATAAAATAAAAGAGACACAGTTGAGATTATGTACTCGTATATGTTCTGTTTAATGGTATTGTTTGCCAAAAACAATTTAGACAAAAGTGACCTCGATTTTTGCAATTATATATTTTTTCAAATTTACGGTGGTCAAGTCAATGTTCATAATTTCAGCGTTTATGTATACCGTAGGTTTGTCAGCACGATCGAGTGATCGTGGATGTGGAGAATGATCTGATGACTGAAGCTACTACAGTGCATTGGCATGGGCAGCATCAGAGGGGAACTCCATATATGGACGGCACACCCCACGTCACGCAGTGTCCCATTCCACCAGGGACCACTTTTAGGTTAGAGGTGTTTCTTTTAGGAACTCGAAACTGGATTTTTTTCTAGTTGTCTCCAATTTTTTTTTACTATGTATATTCATATTCATTTTATATACAGTCCTTTATTTTATTACATTTTAATTGCAATTTTATTATCTATATCATTCTTGTTTACTACTAATTTAATATAAACCACATTGTTTCTTCTTTATTTCTAACTTAATACACATATGTTCCTATTGTTGCTACATAACCATTATTTTATTATGTTTTCTTAATATTTTTATTTTTTTATAACACAAGTGTGTATACTGTTTTATAAACAGTGTTTATATTACATATATAGTGTGTTATATTACAAACATTCTAATCTTAAGTTCATATTCATAATACCCGCAGGAAAAGATCAGTTACTCCTTGCTTATGGTGCTTGTGATATCGGGAACTAAAACATGTAAAATGGTAGCAATCCTACAAAAAAGAAACTATAATTCTGTGTATGTGTGAAGCTAAAACCTAGTATTAGCTTATAATTAATTCGTACTCTTGAATAATCTGTAGATATCAATTCAACGCGAGCCAATCTGGTACTCACTTTTGGCATTCGCATTCCGGTATGCAGAGGGGTGACGGAGCGGCTGGTGCCTTCATAGTGAGAAAACCCAAGTCTCAAGATCCGCATGGTCCACTTTACGATTACGACAGGCAAGTGGCGTTCTGTATGCCTATAGACCAAAGAACACAAAAAGGATAAAGTGGGGATTCACTTTATGTTTCAAAACTAACGTTGTTGATTTCTTTTTCAATTTTGATCACGAAAAATGATGATTATGGATACGTGCTTACTTAGGGAGGAAGATCCGGGTTTTGGCCACTGGTCGCTTTTTGGCCATTTGTGACTTTACGGCTTTGTGATTAACGCATAAACAAATATATTTCTTTACCGTGTAGGGTGTTTAAAATGTTGAATTATGGCAAAACTAATACAGTTGACTGTTTCTATATATAGGGATATAAAAATCTTGCGCTACTGAGTGACTGACTGACTGACAGACAACGTACAGCCGAAACTACTGAGCGTAGAAAGGTGAAATGAACATTCCTTAGGGAGTGTAGAGAAGCACTAAGACAGGATTTTTAGGGGATATTAGGGGATAAAAGTTTATATGAAACTTCGTTACTATAAGTGCTAGGAGTTTCAAACTTTGCATGCGGGTTTTTTAGGATGTAGGTGCTCACTAAGCCGGGATTTTACGATATTCGAAGGGGTAATTAAGGAATAAATTTTTTTTTGGAATTTTCTTATTCTGGACTTAAAACTAGACCACGCGGGCGAAGTTGCGCGTAAAAGCTAGTAACTTATAAAATAGTCAAAACCATCTGCCCTACATATAAGGCAACACTTACTGCACGAGTGGTAACGCTCCACACAACACGGATTATATTAGGTCCTTACATATGAAATTGGCGTATTGTCGTACTGGTCACATTAATTTGAAATTTCTCGTCCTTGGTTGGGAATTCCAATTTCAAATTTATACAGCTATTTACACATGTATTTGTGTTTCGTTAGGCGTCATTCATTTGTTTTTTTTTCTTCTGTTTGTCCTATTTACGTCACCCAGTATAAAAAATGGAAAACTTGAAGTATTGTGTTATTTACGAGACGAGTTCCACCGTGGTTCAAACGGCTCGAAGGGTTAATGATGTGTATGGTGGTTGTGTTGCGAAAGAAAACACAGTGCGTTTTTGGTTCCAACGCTTTCGTTCCGGCAATTTCGACCTGCATAACAAGCCTCGTGGACGGCCGGAGACCCAAGTTAATAATAAAGAATTGAGGGCTATTGTGCAAGCGGATCCATCGCAAACCACCTCCAAGTTAGTTGCACGCTGCGGTGTTAGTGATAAAACTGTTTTAATCCACTTGAAGCAAATTGGAAATATTAAAAAGCTTGAAAGGTAGGTACCTCACGAATGGCAAAAGTGCATAGATGACAATGGTTTTTACTTTGATTAAATAAATATATTATATTAAAAAATATTCGATTTTCTGCAGGGGCACCAGTTACTATGGGCGTACCTCAGGGATCGATATTAGGATCATTTCTTTTTCTAATTTATATTAATGATCTTCCTCACTTTACGAAGAATTTGTGCGAGACAGTATTATTTGCAGATGACACCTCTTTACTGTTTAAAGTCGAGAGGGGTAATGATTGTTTTGACGATGTAAATAATGCTCTCGACAATGTTCTACAGTGGTTTGTTAATAATAATTTAAAGCTCAATTCAAATAAAACGAAATGCATAAAGTTTGCATTACCTAATGTGAGGCATGTCAGTACACTTATAAATGTAAATAGTGAAAAAGTTGAGTTAGTAGAATCGACAAAGTTCCTTGGTATTACACTAGATTCCCGACTGCAATGGGATCCTCATATTGATAGTTTGTCAAGTAGACTGAGTTCTGCAGCTTTTGCTGTTAAGAAAATTAGACTCTTGACAAATATTGAAACGGCAAGATTGGTATATTTTAGTTATTTTCATGGTATAATGACGTATGGTATATTGTTATGGGGTTCTGCGACTAGCATTCAGGATATTTTTATTTTACAAAAGAGAGCTGTCCGTACTATACTCCGTGGAACAGAACGACCGACACTCCCGAAGTTCCTGAAGAGTACTATTTGTCTTTAATATGATGTAAAAAAATATATATATCTAGGTCAAATAGTTTCGGAGATATTAAATTACAAAGTTTTTGGAAAAAAAATGAGTGTTTTCAACCCTGAGTCAGCTGTTTTTGGGACGTACTAAGGAACAAGTTTTTAATCGGTCATTGACTTCTTCATTTCTAAAAACGAAATAAACTAGTTTGTGATTTATAAGACCGCTTTCATGCAAATTCTACCAGACAATCACTAAACAAGGCAGACAAAATGCTTAAATCGATTAATAGACTAACAGCCATTTTCTGATTTGAAAAAAGTAGAAAATCTCTTCTGCTTATTCTCAAGAACCTAAGTTTTATACGTTTCACAAGTCAAATAGTCCTAGTTTTATCAAACTGCTATCAACTGATTATCAAAAAACTAAAATCGGAAACGAAAACTAAGAGATGTTAGTTTGAGACGTTTAACTTTAAATTCTCAATTCAGAAACAGAGTGTAACATTTCCTAAATTATTGTAGAAAGATCAGTCTAACGTTAATCTACGTTATTTTAAAAGAGCAGTTCTCCAAAAAATTTGTTTGAATTGGGTAATATTCCTTTAACAACGGTATCGTAAATTAAACTCAATAAACGCACGAATCTTCCAGCGATTCATCATTAACACAAATGCACTTTGTTTTAAAAACATTGAGGTATTTGTTATTAAAATAGTATTTAAGTAATTGCATTTAAAAAGAACATTAAAAAAAGCGTGATATCAAAAGACGAATTTAAAAAAATGAACCGATTTCGACCCTGGATAAAAGCCAGCCGGCTTGATTGTTCTGTCGGGAGTTTCCCGTACTCAGTCGCATAGAATAGTATTAATAGTAATAGTACTCCTAACGGAGCTCAGTCGCCGTGTTCGTCTTGAGTGTTAAGTTTAGTTTAGTGAAGATTGTGTTTAGTTTTGTGTGAAATGTGATGTGTTTTGCGCGTGCATGCACCGGAATGCAGAAGAGTGTGCTTAGCTCAGTCTTCAGAAAGAAAGTGGACAATTTCAGCATCGACTATCATTAAGATATCGGTAAATAATTAAATTAAATTAATGTATTTCGCGGTCCGTTGTAATCTGCACACGATCGATATTGCGCATGCGCGTTATAGGGCTGTCAACACTTAGAAATTTAAAATATTTACTTCATTTTTACACCTTCTCTATTTTGAAATATTTGTCAAATAAAATGAACGTTTGCATGTAACCTAACTTGGAACTTTCGGCTGTGTCGGTCGTTTTTTTGCTCCCTGTATATAATTTACGGTCTAGGGAATCTCTCAGAGAAATATTTAAAGAAATAAATATTCTGACTGTTGCCTCTCAATACATCTATGAGAATATTATGTACACAAGAAAACATTACGATTCCTTCACAAAAAAAAGTAGTGTTCATAATCTTAACACAAGAAATAAAGATAAACTTGCCGTTTCAAGCTTCAGACTTCAAAAAACCATAGGATCATTTCTGGGTAAATGTATTGCTATGTTCAATAAAGTTCCACAAAATGTAATTGACCTACCCATAAATAAATTTCAAATTCATGTAAAGAATATACTTATGAGTAAAGGCTATTATAAAGTTGATGATTATTTTAAGGATCGCAATGCATGGAATTAATAGCCTTCGCTTTGTTCTAATTATATGTTCAACCTATGTCCTACAGACTTTGAAAGTTGTATTTACTATTGTGATAATACATATTATTTTGGTAATGACATGATTTATGTAAATGTCATTTCATAACTTATGATGAAAAGCTGGTAAGTTTCTTTAGCTTGTTCTTCTTGTCAGCTAAAAGACGTCCTGAACAAGTGGTAGGGAAAAAAGTTTTTTGGACGATTCAAAAGTGCTTGTAATAGCCTACTTGAATAAAGATATTTTCATTTCATTTCATTTCATTTCATTGTTTCTCCCATACCAAACACCAATTTCATATGTAAAGACCTAATGTTATCACAATAGCCATGATAACTGGGTAAAACAAAAGAAATTCTATTTACTCCGCAGTCAGATAATATAAAAATATCTGACATGTGTTTTTTGCTTCAGTTTAAACAAGAAAAATTGAGGTTCACTACGTCACAATGTATCGCCATAATTAATTGATTACGCAAAAAATAATAAAATACGTGTTTAATATTCTTCAATAGTAATCTACCTGATGGACAGATAAAAAATATTTATCGTCATACATACGTATTATAGTCTGTGCCTAGAGTAGGCGAACAAATTATAGGTCGCTGACTCCCTCCGCACAAGAAGATGAAACAGGTCATTGGGTAGCGATACTTATCATTAAATTTCAACGCTAACGTAGAACTAGTAAAGAAATGCTTCAAATAATCTCTGTAATTGTCCGTTTTTTCATTTGCCCTAAAGTTTAACATACCTTAACAGCACGCACTCTTCACGAGCTAATGTGTTGAAATTCTCTTTTCATCAGATCTGAGCACACAATGATAGTGACCGACTGGATTCATGAGCTATCTCTTGCCATGTTCACTGATCTTCTTCATTCGATCGGTGAAGGCAAACCAACAACCTTGTTAATCAACGGATTGGGACGATTTAAATACTTCAACGATAGCTCCAAGTCTATGTATATGAAAGCTGCTAGGTTCAACGTTGAACGGGTAAAGAAATACAGAATATAGTTAACAGTACAACAGGTTATAAGAAATTTCTATTGAAAACTCAAGATAAAGGAGAATGGGCAGAAGTCGGCTAAAATTACGCAAATTGCGCACAATGCATTTATATATCAAAAATCTTCTCTTTAATTATAATTTATTCTATATAAATACTATTTTAAAATTATGCGGCGTTTAAAATTAACCGTATTGAAACAGTTGCTAAACTGACATAGCATAAGTCTTGCCTTGGATAAATGTCAACCATGCAAAAATAGACTCTATAAGGCTGATCACTTTATCGATTATAGAAAAAAATCTATTGTTCAATAACTATCTAAGATAAGACTTCTTCACGTGGTATCTTCTTCTTAGTCTATGCTTCCTTCGGTTTTCTTTTGAGTATGAAAAAAGGTATATACGCTATTTCATAGTAATTAATGCAATCGGCCGTGTGGCGCATCTGCACATGACGCGTACAAACTGAACCAACGCTCGGCCAAGTTAACGTTCGTCACCAATCCCAAAGAATAGGCTTCGTTTATTCATATAGGCATAAGGATAAGGATAAGTTTTCACAGAGGAAGAAACATAAGTGTTTAGCGGTATTATACATAAATATAACAAGATTCCATTAGATAAATTCCTAAATATCTTAAATTAAGATTGCTAGTGATATTCGTTATAATATTTTCTTACGAGTATATACCTACCTTCTCATTATAACTACGACTACCTACTAAGTTTCAAGTTATTAATCGACTTGACATGCGAACTTCCTACCACTACTTTTACAAAATAAAGTATTTGAACTCTGATAATGTTGGTCAGGTATTATATTAGTCAATGACTAGTTTTTAATTGGCCCAGTTGTTTTCGAGTTTATCCTTTACAATAAAATATCCAATATTTCCTTTTTATAATATCGGTATAAATATGTCCTGCAATTAAATATTTATATCTGTTAGTCGTCGATTGTTTGAAATTCGTTATTCATTTTATTGCTCTTATATACGTAGATATTATAACGACATAACCTCAAAATCTCTGTTAAATATTCAGATATTCTCAAACTCCGGCATAATTTTAAAATGGTTTTTTTCCTACTCATTCTAAAAACAATTCTCTATCGTTTACCGTTGGTTTCAACAATGTGCACGGTTACGCAAAAATAGCCGATCTCTCATAGTAAATTGCCCATTCTCCTTTAAACCTTAACAAATTGAAAAATCTTTTCTTTTTTTGAAAATAAACCCATATTGTATGGAATACCTATAATATCACAATAAAATAAATTAATAAATTTATAACTATTAGATGGATGGAGAGTAAGAGGATGATCACAGATAAGATAGATTGTGTGAGGTATGATATTAAAGTGAAGGGAGTGAGCGATGAGATGACGGCTGACAGGGAGGACTGGCAGAGAAGGATACACTGCGCCGACCCCGCATCTGGGAACAGGGCAGAAAGACTATGATGTATCTATAACTATTTATTTATCTATGCTACATATTGCTGATAAAATAATGGTTCAATTTTAAATTGTAATTTGTACACAGGGTTACAAGTACCGGTTTCGTGTGATTAACGCCGAGTTTCTGGACTGTCCCATTGAACTGTCGGTGGATGGTCATAACATCACTGTAATCGCTTCTGATGGATACGACCTAGAACCAATTACAGGTAAGAATAATATATTTTACCTAAAATCATATTCATTCACTGCAGCGGCATAAGTCTTCTCCATAGAAAGTAATGTGAGATTAGAAAGAGAAAATAGTACTTTTACATGCTCTTTGGTACCATTAAACCACCATGCGGATTAAGTGTAGATTGGTGGGTGTAAACTGGCCGGGACCAATCGCTTAACGAGTCTTTGCGAAAATTGCTTCATTTCTGTAATACAACTGTTAATGTTGCAAAAAGCTTACTTATTGACTGTTAAGTTTAAAATTGATTGCAAAAGTATAGCCTTTTGTACTCGTAGTAACCTTAAGCTGTTCGAATGAATAGAAATAATACAAAGTCCTCTAAGTTTCACCAATACTTGGTCCAGAATCATGATTAAATTGTTCAAATGAGTAACTACGATATTGTAGTTTCAAATTTAATAGCAAAGGACTTCCGCAAAGTAACATCTAATTCAATTCAATAATATTATACAAATTGATTCAGCAACTTCGTTAGTGACATATGCCGGTGAAAGATATGACTTCATATTGGATGCAAACAATGAGATAGATAACTATTGGATTAGATTGCGAGGACTCCTGGACTGTGACGAAAGGTAAGTTGTACATTATAAATTTTCACTTTAGCATAAGATATAAAAGTTTTTGATTGTGAGAGGATTAATAAGGTCAGTGATATTGATGCCAAAGATCATGAAGGCGCGAAAAATATTTAACAAGACTCCATTTAGTAGGAGTCATTCTTCTTAGGTTCATACACACCATATTTAGGTTCGCTAAATATGGTGTGTATGAACCTTCTGGTGTGTATGATGAAAGTTCGCTCTCATGTATTATATTGTTATGTTTTATTTTAGTGATATCTTTTTGTTTCTAAACTCCATAACGTCAAAAGTTATTTTGGCTGTACAGCGGCGTTGAGACGATAACTTACTGAATCTTACCAATTTAAAAATTTGTTTTGTATTCAGGTTTACCAAGGCGAAACAAGTAAGTGTACTTCACTATGAAGGTGCTATGGATTTGGAGCCACCTGGTGACCCCACATGGGAGGTACTGCATAATGAAGGCCTGGTAGGTCATAATGAAACTTAAAATATTTTTATCAACCTGAAATGTCTTCTTTATTTTTTGTTTATTTATTCAAAAACTTTTCAGCTTATTTATAAACACATACTATAATATTGTGATGCGATAGTAACTTAAGCCAATGACAGAGTTACACAACTTATAAAGATAGCTAACCTTTTGATTATTTATTAAAAAATTGCAATAGAGAATAAAGGAAAAAAAAACAAATTTGCACAAGAAGACAGATTCAATCATTGAGTACTTCAATGTATAAAATTTGAGGTAATATCAAGCACACGGCGATTTCATCATCATCATTACCAGCCCTTTTACGTCCCCACTGCAGGGGCTCAGGCCTTCCTTATGGATGGTTAAGGAGGACCACGGCAATTTAATATATGTTTATTGTTGACGCTGTACATGTGTGTTGTGTGCGATCAACACACGATTACATCGTCGTCAGAAACGCGTCGCGCCCTACACCTCAAAGGTATGACTCGACCTGTTCCCGAACCACCACCTTTTATCCACCTGCGATACTTTACAAGCGCGTCTTTATTAATTGTAAAAACTGTTCTTCATTAAGTAAACTCATTCAACACCATTAAATTATTTTTTTCGCGTCTCAACCATGCTATATGGTATTAAGCCTCCAAGTTTCAACATGGTCCTTCGAGCCGGATTTAAGGAATACCTGCCCAGGATGGCTTTAACTCAAGAAACAAAGGATTGTGATACATAGCCGGAACATTACGAGCACGTTTCCAGAAGGCAACGAGATTGTGCATAGCATAGGAAAGAAATTATATTTATATTGAAATTGGTGCATTGTGAATATTGAATATTGATGCACGCGTGACCTTTGACTGTTACAAGAGGACGCTCACTTTCACTTGTGGAATAAACAGCGACGTCGACATTGACCTTGAGCGCTTGCTAGCCCGTGACGTGTTAACCAACTTGTACAAGATAAACCTATTTGCTTACGAACTTCACCGCATCTCAGCCACGCCATTTTGGTTTAGGTATAATCTACACTTTTGAACTTGTTCTTTATTTTATGAAAAGTCTATAACAGTATTTCTCCATAAATTTTTACGTGCATTAACGTTATATATTGTTATTAACTAATTAATAACTTTAAATCATTACTTATAATTATATGCAATCGGGTCTTGTTCGTGCATTTTTTAAAACAATTAATTTACCTCGACGTTTCGGCTTGTTTTAAAAAATGCACGAACAAGACCCGATTGCATATAATTATAATGTATACAAATCGTGTGAGTTTAAAAATATTATTTAAATCATTACTTTCACTTTACTGTTTATTACAACAATAACAATAAAAGCCTTCTTGTTAACAGCCACATTTAGGCAATTTTTAACATTCAGTCCATTTTAAAGAAGTTCTCCAAAGCTTTACGAAATATTATCGACACTGTCAACAAAAACTTAAGAGCTTTAAAAACCCTTAATTTAACTAAAAACCCTTAATCGTTAATTTAACGATTATTGGGACATTATCATTATACATATTAACTCTAATAAACTAGATTCTGTTACGTATCGAGAGCGGGAAACTTATCGTATTGCCTAAATTTAAAGGGTTTATTGATTTTCTTAAAAATTGTTCTGATCTTTTGGAGACGATGAAAGACTCCTGTTCAAAAAGAAGACATAGTGACGTCACTACCAATCGTCAAAATACAATGTTAGATCTCGTTTTTAATTGTCAAATGAGACTTCATACATTTGTTCACTGTGTAAAGACAGAAATGCGAATAAAAAAGGTTATAGATTTAAAATTGTGTTCTAATTGTCTTCGTCTATGTCACAATGTCAATTCATGTAAATTAGGGTCATGTAGTTTATGCAACAAATTGCTTAATAACTTGTTGCATGTGCATAATACACAGACAAAAAGTCTGTGTTTCCACGCCTCCACTTGTGGCTGAGAGTAACGTCGTACTCTGTCATCACCTTTGTTGCCTTTGCCGTTGTTGTCATCGGTACAGCCGCCATCATCGCCGCCGTCGTCACCACCTGTGGAAACTCAAACAAAAGTTAGACATAATTCTGATATCACCATGTCAGCCATAAATAAAGGTTGTGTGCTCTTGTCTACTGCTTTAATTCAAGTACAAGATAGCAGAGGTCAATATTGTTCGCGCTTTGCTAGATAATGGAAGTACGTCTAGTTTCATTAAGGAGCAGTTGTGCACCAAACTCAACTAAGAGACCGTTCTACATTAAGTAAACGCTTTCAACACCATTAATTTCATTAATCAACACCTTTAATCAACATGCACATAGCACGCTCAACGGGCACTGGAGAACATACCAAACATACACAATATACACAGAGTATTTTTACAGATTGTATTGATTAGAGAGACACACACAAATGATTTCATGTATTAAGCATTTTTTATTGAGTGTTGCTGACGTTGAAAATATTTATGTTCTGATATTTTTTATTATAGGTCCTCATCAATCGGGTCATTGTAGCATTACATCCGTAATAAGTTCAATATTTGGGCACTATTACAAGCAATGTGAATTGTACGAATTAACATGACACCAGCGGGCCTACTCGTCCGCATTCTACATTCGTAACGAAGATTCGGCAAATTTCGAATTGTTCTTATAATTTTGAAAAAATCATATCCATGAAGATAATAACATTTCAAAAATTGACAAAATATAATTTTCGGGGAAGTAGAATAGACTTCAGACGTCATGTTAATTCGTAAGTATATTGTGTACTTTATTAAAGAGCCAACCTAGGGCGAGACCTTGTACTGAGATGAACCACCAAGAAATTTGGCAAGAGCTTCTTTCTTCCCTAGTTTTGTTTGATATGCTATGAAGTTCGATACAATTATAATATTTAATTTAATAAGTTAAAAATTAAGAAGGATTTTGCTTAGTATGCCATATATTTTTTTTATCTGGAATCGCTCTGGTACCAGCGGCGGTTTTCTTTTAAACATTTTCAAAATAAGTATTAAGATAGTTTTGTAAATGCAAAAGTTTTGTTACTTAGTAAGTCAAAGACAGGTCTATGGGGGAGGCGTTTGTTCATCAGTGGGCCATGTATGGCTGATGAAGAAGTCAAAATCAAAATATGTATATTCAAATAAACTTCTTTCAAGTACTTTTGAATCTAATTTTTTTTCAAACAGGAATTGAATGCCCTCAATAAAGGCGAAGAAGATGAGGACACTATCAGTGTTGCGGGTATGAGATCTCTGGCTGGTTATGACGAGAGTTTGAAGGAAATACCCGACTATAAGTTCTACGTGGCTTACGACTATTACGCTAAGAACAACATACATTTCCACAAATTACCTAACTATGGATTTTACCAAGGTAAAAAGATAAATGACTGAATTTAATATTTATACTAACTTAAAAAATCTAATTATTAAAGAAAATAAATTTTTAAAGTTATAAATCACAAATACACATACAAAAACATACATACATCCAAATAATATTATTCATAGTATTATAAAGCATACAGATAAAGTTTTATAAATTAAATTGATGAGTAACTTTGCATATCAAACAAACAATGCAATGTGTTGTTTCAGTTCCAAATATGAATAACCGCTTATACACGCCACAACTCAACCACATCAGTATGAAAATGCCGTCGAGGCCTTTCCTCCTGTCCAGACCAGCACCAAACAACTTCTGCAATAGTTCCAGCATTGACAGATCCTGCGAATATGATTTCTGCGAATGTCACCACGTACTCTTTGTGAAATTAAACTCCGTGGTTGAAGTAATAATTTTGGACGAAGGAGAATTTTTTGATGCTAACCACCCTTTCCATCTACATGGCCATAGTTTTAGAGTAATAGCACTAAGAAGGTTAGGTAATAAAACGACAACTGAAAATATAAAAGCATTTGATGAAGCTGGACTTTTGAAAAGGAATCTCAAAAATGCTCCCATCAAAGACACTGTCACTGTTCCTGATGGAGGTTATACTGTTATAAGATTTAAGGCTGATAACCCAGGCTATTGGTTGTTCCACTGTCATATAGTATTTCATATTGAAGTGGGTATGGCCATGGTATTCAAAGTCGGCGAACATAAAGACATGGAACCTGTACCAAGGAATTTCCCAACTTGTGGTAGCTATATGCCTGATAGTATTTTTAATTCGGATTCGGGATAAAAATTAACGACAATAAAGTTCACAATCCGATTTTATTTAGCGCAATAAAATTACAACTACAAAATTCACACTTCGACTTCACTTTTTCAGGTCAATAAACTCTTCACAACACTATTAGATAGTTATCGCTTCGAGTTTCGCTTCCCATCGCTTTTGTTTTCAGTTCGCTTGTTCACTGAAGAATGGCGGGTCAGGTAGTCCACCGCTATCATTCAATAATAACAAACAATTGAACGTCATCAATCACTACACCGTTTCAATAAAATTATTGATGTTATTTATAACACTATTTAGTTTCAATTAAATTTTTATGTTAATTGTGTATTTTAGTGAAATAACATATTATGTTTGCAGTTGTAACAGGTTTATAATATTGTGATGAGACACACACAATACGAAGTGCATTAGAGTGCATGTAATGTTGTAACTCGTCAATATGGGCAAAATCTGGTTTAATAGAAAATTGTACTTAGGTACAGTGAAATTGTATGAGTGAACTATAAAAATATACATTCATTTGAGTTTTGACGTGAATGTATATTTTTAACACTATGGTTAAAGTGAGAGAAGAGATTTGCTAAGGGAAATTTTCAAATTCGAATTATGTATGCCCTTAGTATTTCAACATCCTGAAATATCAAGCTTTAGGAAGTTCTTGCACATTTTTGTCACGAACTCTTAAAGAGTGACCAAGAGCCCCATCTGGGTGTGGTTAGTTTGGCGCAGCGACTATGATCGGGTTCAGTCACGCTTAGGTTTCTAGTTGATTTACTATACTAGTTTTGACTTGATCAGGAGGTGGATTCGTGCGAATAAGGAGTCCTACAAGTGTAGTAATTTGTTAGGTTATAAAAAAGTCAGGTTAACGGTAAATTATTTTAATAAAAATAGGTTTAACGACAAAGTAAAAGAGTTCATAACAACAATGTAGCCACATAACAAAAGCGAGTCACTTGGTAACTTTTTGTCGGCACTAATTGCTCCTAGTTTCAAGCTCCCACTTTATTTAAAAGGCAGTTTAACAGCTTAAGGAAAATTCTTTTGTTAATTATACTTTTTTCTTTTTAAATTAAGTGTATTTTACAGGCGAAAAGAATAATGAATACTTTAGAAGGGAAAGTTTTTCTTAGTAATAGTCTTTTTTGTGGGGGAAAAGAATAACAAGTTAGTAAATTTTAATTTAGGCAGTTATTTTATTAAAGGTGTGAAAGAAATAAAGATGCTTAATTTATTTTGGGTGGCTAACACGTTGTTTTTGTGCAGTTTATTGTCGTAAAAATAATTGTGTAACGATGATAATATTATATGTAGGTATATATTCATGTTCGTAGCTAATTTCATTTGAACTAGAATATATATTAGGAATGGTAATTGGATAAAGAAAAATAAATTCTGTTTAGTCCGTCAGTCAGATAACAGAAAAATATTGTATTATACGTATTATGTTTTTGCTTCGATTTAAGAAGAAATGACTTAGATAGAGTAGGCATTACAGTTGATGATTTTGGGCTCGCTACCTCACAACTAGTTATGCAGAAAATATACAAAGATGTGATTTCATGCGACATTTCACGTCAATGTATTGCTGTTATTTATTGATTACATAAAAAGTGTTTAATATTCTGTAAAAATAAATCCTTATTTCAGACCCAATGATCCATATTAAATTACAGAAACATGATTCCAAATAAAAATATTACATATTGGGTTGGCACAAAAGTAATGAGACACACTAGAAAAATCTATAACATTTCCTTTTTAAAATCAATTTTTTCGATAATATTCTAGAATGTTGTAGAACATTCTAGGTACTTCTGGTGTAGGGTATATAAAGCCGCGCTCGCGATTTGTTTAGTCAGTTTGAAGAAAAATGGACGAGCGACAAGTTCGAACACTATACTTATACGAGTACTTGTTAGGCTACAGTGCGCGGGCTGCGGCTGACAATATCAACAATGCATTCGGCGCTGGAAGGACAAGCCATGCGACGGTGTCCCGATGGTTTGACCGTTTTAAATCAGGAGACAGGAGCCTTGAAAGTCAGCCAAAAGGCATACTGTTTTATGAGCTATTACACAATGAAACTATAAACGCTGACATATATTCAACCCAGCTTACCAAATTATCTGCCGCTATCAAGAAAAAACGACGAAGACGAGTCAATGTAGTTTTACTGCACGATAACGCTCGACCTCACGTCGCATCTGTGGTTCGCCGGCAGTTGGAGAACTTGGGCTGGGAGACGATACCCCACCCACCTTATTCCCCAGACCATTTGCGGGGTAAACAATTTAATGATTTCTCTGACGTAGAGGCGGAGTTGAACAACTTTTTCGAGGCACAGCCATAAGAGTTCTGGGCAAAAGGCATCCAAACTTTGCCGGATCGTTGGCAAGAAGTCTTAGATACTAATGGTAATTACATCATTGACTAAACTTTTTTTATTGGAATAATAATAAAAAAGTAAAACCTTAAACCAAGTGTCTCATTACTTTTGTGCCAACCCGATAGATTCAGGTAGCAATAACCAACCATCGTCTGTATGTTACGGTTTCCACAAGTCTTTCGGCTAGAACCTTTACCACAGCATTATCAGACCTGTCGACTCTGGACATGAGGGATGCTATTCTCTTATGCTGAATAGCACTAAACGAATCGTTATGACTTTCTGTGTACATTTCTGAAGCACTGCAATAACATTTCAGTTTCATTAGATGTCGAAAGATGTTATTATAAGTTACTTATTATAAGTTAATCATACGCTTTTTCCATGTATTCAGTCCAGAGTTGACATGTATAAAAATTTTGGCAAAAGGATCTAAAGAGCGTTTATTTCAAATCATTAGAAACGTTACAAACGAAGGCCCGAAAGGCCTTCCTTTCTACAAGAAATAACTATTAAACAGATGTAAAGAGAAACGTAATTAACGGTGAATAATTTTTTTACCTTATTTCCATTTGATAAAAATAATTTGAATTTGAATTTGATTATGACGCTCGAGCCATATGTTTTGAGCCGGAACAAACAGAAAGTCAGACAAAAAATGTAAAAAATAATGTTTTTGTATACGTAACATGTATGTATTATACATATGTATTTAGTTATTTAAAAAGTTATTTTAATATACACAGACCCTCCAATTTCATTTATTTGTACAGATTTTTACAGACTTTAAAATAATATTTTAGTATGTAATAAATAAAGCTGAAAATTGATTAATTTTTATTTGACTTTCTTCTCCGTTACTATATTATGTATATCACAGATGCCTATCAGTCATCTTTCTGGTAGGTAATCTTAAAAAACTTAAAGTGTTTTCCATAGAAAGAAAATACGTTTCAAAAAGTATTTCAAATAAAATACAAAATATTGAAAAAGGTACAAACTTAAACGCAACATTCAAAAAGTATTCTGCATTTTAATTTAAGTACAAATAATATTTCAAATAAATCGCATCTCTGGCATGGGTGCGATCGGCTAACTCTTAGTTATAGGATCATCATTATCACCAGCCCTTTTACGTCCCCACTGCAGGGGCTCAGGCCTTCCTTATGGATGGTTAAGGAGGATGGGCCATGATCCACCACGCTGGCCCAATGCGGATTGGAGGGTATTAACGACTGCAAATGCAGTCGGAACCAACGGCTTAACTTTCCTTCCGAAACACGAAGTAGCTCGAGGTAATCATTTTTTGGTCACCCATCCCGTGACCGACCCTTGCGAAAGTTGCTTAACGACAGCGATCGTTGGCTGCGGCGCTTATCCACTACGCCACCGAGCTACTCAGTTATAGGATACGATATCTTAACTATGTAATGGCGATATTATGTTTCATTTTACGATGTTGTAATGTATTTTGGTAAATTATTGCCGTCAAATCCATAAATCATATTTCTTCATTCGTTAGTAGTTATAAGAGTACATGTTTACAAGTACGAGTAGTAAAATGAAACGAAATATCTCGTTATTAGAGTTAGGTGGTAGCCCCCAGGATCAACTGCTTAACATTCCTTCCGAAGCACAGAAGAACTCGATTAATAATCGATAACGTTTGCATAAACCTTTGGGAAAGTTACTATAACAGGGCTGACGCACTCACCACTGTACCATCGATTGGCCTTCTCGACATTAATACGGTTATCAAAATGTTGAGCTTATCAGGGCACTACAGTCTACGTTCATTAATTTACTGATTTACTATGCAAAACGTTTAAATTGAATAAAAGCTATCGGTTTACGTATTTATTATTCAAACGCCGGGCGCATTCGGAAAATTGCTCACGTCAGATATTTCCTAGCGTTTCATTTATATGTTATTTTTAGGTTCGATATAGAAATGTTAAATTTAACTGATATCTGTACTAATGTCTATGTCCTGAATACGTATGCTTTTTTTTTGCTTCGATTTAAACAAGAAATGGCTTTGATAATAGGCGTTTTTTTTCTTCAAAACTGTACAAAAGCGTGACGTCACGCGACACTTCAACTCAATGTATCGCTGTAATTTATTAAATACGCAAAAACTAAAAAAAATACGTATTTAATATTCTTCAATAATCTACCTAATGGACAATCTATTTACAATCAACCTAATCTGCAATAATTAGTCGTCATCCCTATAGATTGTTCTAGTTTCGATATTACAAGAAACCGTTATAACGTTATACTATTTAACAAACAAAAAACCGTTATAACGTTATAAAATATATAATCAATTCGGTGAACAGAGCTAGTTAATAATTTTCATAATCCTTTAGAGTTGGTCAAAACGACCACCCTCGTTTATTTTAGAATCACCACTAACTAATATATGTCAAATACTAAGCCAAATTAAAACGCTAAGACGTCGTATTTTATGGCTAGAGTTATAATTTGAGGAGTAAGACAATTACGCGGTTGCCCTGTAGGTGTATTATGACCAATACCTGAATTTTTGACAGTCTTCACCTTAAATAGTATCTATCCTTCAATGTAGAGCAACAAGAAACATATAGATGTCGCAGGTAGGCAGTTGACTTTCACATGTTTATTGCTAAATTCTTATTTCAATCTCCAATTTAATCATATTATTTTTCATCTGAATTGTATTGATTCTTCAAACTTATGTTTTACACTGAAAGCCTGATGAGCGCATTGATTTATAAATGATTAAATTAAAATTAAATGGAATACTTAGTTAAAAGTTCAGTATGTAAGACTTCGTATGTAGTATGTATGTGAGAACGTAATTAGAAAAAATATCGAGCTTTTTTTAAGAGAGAAGATATAGTAAAGGTCAAAAGATATTGTATTTAGATCGACGTTTTGAGAAAA